TGAATTCCTATCTAATGTCCTCAGTGCAACCTGAAGGACTCCCCTCACTGTTAGGAGCCACAGCAAAAATATTGATACAGGCACCTTTGGATTTTATTTGACTGCCAGCCAGCAATTCACATTCATATGGTAATTGGACTCATGCTGTCCAGCTGGGCCCAATTTCAGGACTCAGGTTACTCATGTCACTCTTGTAATGGGAGAGTTCCCATTGGTTGGAAAAGGATGGTAGGAGGGTGTTCCGGGGGAAGTGGAAACCCCCCCGGCTCAGGTAGACACACACGTGTGGACCCACTTGTTAGGGGACGCACATGGCCTCTCTCTAAATAAAACTTTGTCTCAGTTTGACTGGCTTGTGTTTTTGTGCCCAACCGGGCTGTAAGATTGCAAGCCGGCGTGCACTGATAGCTCAGCAGGGGATCGCTCAGCAGGGGTGCCGCAGGCAGTGCTCGGCAGCAGGAGCGGGACTCAGCCGGCCCGGGGCCGGGCAGCTTGCGGCACCTCACGAAGGGCATATCTAGTGGAGACCAGCTCCCTAGGCTCTTGTTTATCAAATGCTGTGGTTTGAATGTTATTTATCTCTCCAAAATCCTGGTTGATAGTTTAGCTTCAATGTAACAGTTCTGAGAGCTGGTTAGGCCAGGAAGCTCCACCCCCAGGGATGGAATGCGCACATTAAGAGAGCTTTTCCAGCAAATGCAGGGACCTGGTTCAGTTCCCAGCACTGCGCGCGCACACACACACATCCATTTGTGAAGCTATGCTCTTTTGTCACAGTGACCAAAACACACAACAAGAACAACTTAAGAGTAGGGAAGCTGCCACGAGAAGGGTATCATGCTCCTTGACCCGAAGCTGGAGAACGTGGTGGTGGATGCCAGYGGCAATGACAAACTCATTGACTTTGGCTTGAGCACCAGATTCACAGCTGGGAAGAAACTGAACAGGTCCTGAAGCACCCTCCTCTATGTTGCCCCGGAAGTCATCAAGTGGAAGGAAGGGGCCCCTGACTGACATCTGGAGTCTGGGTGTCATTCTCTAGTTTATGCTCAAAGGGAAACACCCATTTATGGCAAGCACTGGTAAGGAGGTCAAGGAGCTGATCATGCAAGRAACATATAACATTCCTCCACATGTTTCTGGGGGAGCACAGAGCCTGATCAGTGAAATTACTGACAATGGACCCCATGCAGAGGCCTATCACAGAGCAGGTAATACAGCACCAATGGCTGAGCCAGCCCAAGGAAGCTTCACTCACTTCTAGTGAGGCACTCCCCAAACTCCCGGGTATCGCAATTATGAAAATCATTATCAACATGGGTAATGACCACTATAATACCTGGGTGTCCATAGTAAGTAGAAAGTACGATGTCRCGATGGCTATATACCTCATACTCAAGCACCAGAGAACCCAGTGGGAGGGCTGCTCAGTCCAGATGAAGCATGAACTTCACCTGGGCCCTGTGGATACTCTGTCTGCCCTTCCCTTGCCCTATGAGCAGCAGCAGCCTGAGGAGACCAAGCAGTCCTGGCAGAAGGGTGATGAAGTGCCAGCGTGCCTGCCATTATTCTCTGCTTTTTCCACGTAGACACATCCTTCTCAGCCTAGCCTCCCAGCATGACCCTGTGCCCAGCAGGCCAGACTCCTCAATGATCCTCARTAGGGGGGTCACAGAAGATAGCAGCTCATCCTCCCAAAGAGGTATCCACAGGACAATCCCACAACAACAGCAGGGGTTGGGAGAGGGTGAGGGAGAGGATTGCCAACTGCATTCCACAACTTGTGTTATATACCATGCTTCGGTTACTCAGCATTCAGTGGCTCCAATAGAAACATAGAGCCAAGACAGACAGAACCAATGGAAAGCCAGAAGATCTTGAACTCTGTGGATGCTGACATCATGGTGTTGGAACGAGGTGTGCCAACTGGATCAGGCTTCTCCGCATAGATTCCAGGCAGGAGTGCATCTAGATGCACCAAGAGTCTCCTCTGCTCCCACCTGCGATACCCATCATAGATTTTCCCTGGGACACTTCCAGACATGTCATAGCTACTTTTCCCTGGGACACTTCCCTCTGACCTGTTCTTTGCCCTTTCACCCATGCTTTGGGAGAAAAATTTCTTTTTTTTTTTTTTCACAAATTGTATAAAATTGATGTTTCAAAGATTAAAAAAAAAAAAAACTAAATTGAAAACACCAGAAATAAACATTTGTAATTTTTAAATCGAGTGCTATTTTGAGCAATGATTTAATCTCACATCAACTACTGTCTGTCCTACTGTAGACATGAGTCACCCCTTGGTCCACTGTATCCACTCTGTCTGTACTACTGTTATGGTATCACAGTACTTGTGTTCAAGTAACCCTTGTTTTACTTAATAGTGGCCAAGTGCAAACTTTCATGATTGTACACTGTTACAACTTTTCTCTTAATATTAATCTCTTACAGTGCCTAATTTATAAACTAAACTTTATCATGGACAGGGAAGAACAAAGTGTGTGTGGGTGGGTGGGGTRTGGTACTACCCAGGGTTTCAAGCAGCTACTGTGGATCTTGGAACTATCACCTCAGGTTGAGAAACTAATATGACTCCATTTTAAAAAGTAAATAACAGCAGCTTGTACCTCAAGGCCTGTCCTAAGGAAGGGGGCGTGACCCTTGTCCTTGGAAAAACCYACAGAGCATTCCYAAGCACATACCCACCCTGCTGAGTTGTTTGTCTGTAAATAACAGGAGAGGTCTGAGGCGCCAGGTGTCCCTCAGTTAGGCTAGGTGAGGACCCATAGCAACCCCCC